GACCTTATCGAATCGCTCAGACTTACTATTAAGACATGAATAATTGTCAACATAGACGCCAAGTGAGAACTGATGAAAATTAGAAACAACTTAGGCCTAAAGATACAATCATGATGGGCACCAACATTAATGAAAAAAGATATAGAAGAGTGGCCGTTCAAGACAAACTTCATTTTGCGAAATACTGAATCTGTTCAAAAATTCATAATAGCAATGTAAATCCGTATATTTCTATTATTAGTACCGTAATTATTCGTGTATATTACGCACTTTACACCCGATTTTAAATCTAAGAAATAAAGATGCGTATTATACGCGAGAAGTTTTTTCGGCAGCGTGTATCGCCATATTCTGAACGGTAGGCATATGTAACAAAGACTTTAAATTACTAACTAAAATAAATAAAATGAAATATGAATAAATAAATAACTAAATATAATAATAATAATAATAATAATAATAATAATAATAATAATAATAATAATCACATTGATATTAAGCATGTTTTAGTTTGCTTCACTGCTACTCGTGTTAAAAATAGACGTCATGATAGTTTTATCAACGTTTTCAACGTATTCGATATCTTCGCCATCTTCAATGTCGTCGCCATTACATAGAAATGGCCACTAACCATTGGAATGTGTGGTTGTTTATCATTTTCTTTCTGCTTGTGTGGATTTATTTTCGCAACAAGGTCGTTGCATTTTTGTGTGAACGTATCCTGCCTTTTGCTCTAAATTCCGTGTAATCTTTTTGCCCCAAGCATAAACGTAAACTACATAAATTCTTCTTTTTAGTTGATACGAACAAAATAGAATACTCAACTAAATGTTCAATTGAGGAAAAACTTAACTGCTACAAATCATAAAATGTCAGTGTGCACTATAAACGAGAGACTTTTTCCTAGTATTTCCCAGCCTAATGTTAGGGGTGCGCATTATACACGAGTTCATATATTTTAAGAATATAATATTTGTGTAAAAACAATAAAAAAACAATATTCATGTATAATTTCGGTCTGTTATCCCCCATCATCTCAAAAATATTAGAAACATAATTCGGCATACAGTTTAATAGAGAAAAGACAGATTTGCTTGAAGTGACTAGACGTCAGTAGCTTCAGCACAAGAAAAACACAAACTCACTGGCTGCATAGTTTGATAATGATCTTTATCCTCTCTTTCACATATATTAACATCCACTTCTCACACACATGTTAGCTTCTGATTCCAGCCAGATGAGGCCTACACTAATTAACGCAACACGTCGCTGAATAGTTTTTCAGTCTTGTTATCTCCACTATTTCCATTGAATAAACTGTATAACAATTATTTATTGTTAAAATAAATCTTTAAAAACAATCTTACAAATATCTTTTTTTAATCTTTTAATTTAACCACATACAAAACTACTGGAATGTTTAATGCGTGGTGATGTTTGAAGAAATCACCGATTGTTTCCTACTGTAGTTCCTCAAATATTTACATGCGCACAAAATTGAGTGATGATAACAGATTCATCATAATCCTCATCATCGGTCCCTTGAGCGGGTGTGATGGTAGGATCCATCCACGTATCATAGTTGAAAGTCTGACAGGTGTTACAGACATTCATGTATAGTGAATCTTGGGTAAGTAGACCTTGTGGAGCCCATCCCTCTTCAGGTCAGACCATAGTAGCTTTCCTTCAATTTCAAGGTTGTCCTTGGTTACATTTCAATACAAAGAGGAGTAGATAGGTTCGCCTATCATCCGATTCCAACTCCTCTCCGGTTTTTGAAAAGGAGTAGTGGTTTATTCCTTGTTTTGTTTAGGACTGAGTTTCCGATCCCTTTTGAAGTCTCCTTCAACTCTATACTTCTAACATCCCCGCTTGAACTCTGAAGTTTTATTCATAAATTAAATCTTGACCTCTTCAAGTGTAGAGTTAGCCGTCATCTTCCCTTCATAGCCCCAAGAACTTCACTTCTTTCCCTTTATTACACTAATACAACTCCACACTCTAACCCTCTACCTTGAATGGCCTTTGGGCCTGGTATTGGGTGAACATAAGTAAAAAAAATCCCCCAAACAAGGGAGATAATGCATACAACTTATTTCTTTCTAATTCATAAAAGTTATTTTTTCTAATTGATTTGTCTATGCATGTCTCTTCAACCAAACTAGAGTATATATAATTTTTAAAAGCCCCTCAAATATTGACCTCATGACCCGATTCGTGTAATCAACACATGTATGGCGGAAACTTGTGGTTTTAAACCTGGTTTTGCTTGTCTCCTATAACTTGGAGCAAGTATATGACGTTTAAATGATTTAATGTTCTTTCTTAAAGTCTCCTAGCATTTATTTCTATGCTATATCTGATGAGGTGGTTAATAAAAAAAAAAATGTGCTAATTCTTGAAATACTCTTATTTCTCAGTTGTGTCCACTATCTATTTCTCTGGATTTATCCAACTTTCCCCTCTATTATGATTCACTATGATCAGCCATGTTTGATTTCATTATCGCCTCTCGGATTAAGGCTTTCCGATTTTCCCCAGCCTTACTCACAGTGGTGGCTGGTCACGCCTCTGTGCTCTCTGTTAGAATTCCAAGGAACAGAATATAAACGATTCTTGGTCATATTCTCAGGAGACTTATTTCGTTTTAGATGTATTCAAAGGTTTGAGCTGTGTGTTGAACACTGTACTGATGTTATATGGATTGCAGATTTACTGAATATCTTTCATTACACTTCTCTTGTAAGGTAGACAGTTGTTCTCGACCTTTATACACCTGAAACATATCTTATCCATACAGGCAGGGGAGTAGAATAGCGGAAACATTGTAACGATAACAGCTAAAATGAAAACACTAGTTTCAGTAAATCAGTTTATATCGGTAATAGTTTCTGATCTCAAAAAATTCAGACAAAACCTGGAGATTTACCTGGCAGTAAATTATGAGATCAGATCGTATCAAGTGGCTATGCTGAAAAATATAAATTGCCAGATAATTCTTGGTCTAAATTCTGAAAACTGGCGTCGGTGGCTTCTTGAAAACCGAAAGGAAACACGCAGAGGAGTCATAGCGTTCCTTTTTCAAACCTGTTTTTATTTTATAACACGTAAACTCGTGTTTGTTGAATTTTGCATGGGGTACCCAATGAGAATCATCTTGACTATCGAGTAGTAATAATAAGTTGCCTGTATATTTGTCATGGGCATCATTGCATTGAAAGGATGTTAATTGGTGGAATGAAAGCTGGTAAGTACATCGGTGGTAATTTTCCTACTTATTCACACTTTAAATACAATAAATAGGGCATAGGCGTATCTCTAAATAAAAATCCTCCTGGCGACATGACGTGAAGAGATGATCGCAAAATGTATACACTCACACTTCGATTAGTAGCGTCTCATTACTGATCTCAATGTTATGTAATGACCGCCCAAACGACACTTGAAATATACAGTATGGCTTTATAAGTTCCCAAAAGTTCTCGTGTATACATACATATCAAGCGGTCAAAGTACGTCGGATTAAAGAGCAGTTTCTCCAGCAAGGATGGATACATGTTCAAATCCTGCTGGAGGGTGCATTTCCTTTAATAAGTTTTTTTTTTCCAAATGTAAACGCCGGGATACGGAATTAAATATTCTTTAAAATAAACATGGAATCTTTTCAAATATGAGTATCAAGTAAAAATAACGTTTAAAATAACAAAATATGCTGGATTAAAAAAAATAAAATCCATTAATCATTTAGAAATTGCTTTGTTTTTGATCCGGATACGAAACAGAGAGATTATAATTTTCGAGAAAATCTAAACGAGTAAAAAAGGCAAATAAAACCTCTTTTGGTTGTGAAGCTCTCCGTAGTTGAGTTGTCAATGCATACCAGGGATTTCTCCTGAAAAGACGGGCGCACGTTCGAATACCGGTGGCCATTGCATTTACTTTAATTAGTTTTCTTGAATATGCCGGACGGTAGACGAAATGAAAAACAATCTACTTAAAATAAACGGAGCGTCTACACAAACACAGGTATTCACTAAAATGATGTTTAAAGTAATATATATATATATATATATATATATATATATATATATATATATGTGTGTGTGTGTGTGTGTGCGAGCGCGCGCGTGTGTGCGTTGGCGCTGTTAGTTTGTAAAGAGGAACCCCCGATCATTTGACATTATGCAAGTTTGTGTCCGGGCGTATTTCCTTGACAACGGCATGACAACACCAATAAATTCCGAAGACTATGTAATATAAGCTTTCTTAAAGTGAAAAGGAGGGTGAATAAAATTGAATAAAGTTTCCTTTAAAATATTTCAACACCAGCATAGACATTACTGCAATCGATACCTTTTTTGAGAGGGAAAAAGTAACCCCCTCTTTTCTCTTTCAACAGACAGACAGACACACACACACACACACACACACACACACACACACACACACACATATATATATATATATATATATATATATATATATATATTACATCGTTGTAGTTCGTTGTATTTATCATATCCTATTTATATCTATCTAGATAGATAGCTAGAAGGCACGGTGCAGTACTGGATAGCGGATTGGATTGAGGAATCGAAGAGCAGAGTTCGAATTCCAGTCGAATCCATTACATTCACTTACATGCTAATACCCTTGAGAAACGTATGGACAAATAGCAGGACAGACCGGGTTCTATAGCCTTGGATGCCAACTTGTTTACCGCAGAAAGAAATGGCAACCTAATGCGGGAAGAAATGTGACTCGTCAGTCTTGTATCGAAAGGTAGATGAGCGTCTAAGCATGTATACCGCTTGGCACATAACTGACTGATCTAGCTAGCTAGCTAGCAATCACAATCTATCCAAAGCAAGCTAGCCATGTACCTATGTGCATGGCGAGATATCTATCTATTTTTTTATCATTTCACCTCAAGATAAAAATGATTACAGAGTGAAAGAGAAGACTTTATGGAGAATAAGTGAGGAACAGAACAATAAAAGAACATCTATCTATCTATCTATCTATCTATCTATCTATCTATCTATCTATCTCCTTGCACATTTAACTCAACAATAATACTACCTGCATTTGCTACATCGATATTTGCATTCGGCTATATTCCTCTTTTATTGGCACTGTAACTCAATTTATTGCGACACATTATACTGAAGTCCGCTGTATCATTATTTGTGTTCACAAAAGATGGTTTACTTGCATTATAAATGGAGGTGCAACTTTGATATTATTAAATAAAGCTCCCTGGGGAAAAAAGGCAAAAATACTTTGCCTTACTGACGTACAAAAATATATCAGGCATATTTTTATGTTTTATTTTATATCAACATTCTTAATGGTGTAAATTTGAAAAAAAACAATTTGGCAATAGTTCAGTAGAATATATTGCATACCTTTAAATACTAATCTTTATCATCAGGTATATTATTAATCAGTAGATTGTAATCATTAGCACGACTAGTATTTATTTGTACGTATCGACCTCTGAAGCAAATATACCGCAGTTTGGCTGTCAGCTGTTAATACAACAGACTAATTCATTGTAAAGACATATTATATATAAGGGTGTTTCATTAAAACGGATCAAATTCAGCAGTAAATAAATCAGTGCTATTGGTGAAAATTTATTGGTTTCTCTATTGGATCATATTATTTAAGTCATGGCAATTATGTGTGAAAAATAATATCGCCCAAGTGTCCGCCAAGTCTGAAAGAAAAAGAAAAATGTCATTAGACGCTTAAACTTAAATCACATTTAAAATCAGTCCAAGTTATTTGAACACATTTTAAAACTAAATTCCCAATTTAAACTTCAGATTTGTTTACTTTGTCGTTAAACGTTTGCAAGGAATGCATGAATATGTATCTCACGTTCTAACACAGAGCTCTTTTTTTAATGTATCTTACTTCTCACAGATCTATTAATAGAGTGAGTCAATAAAGAACGGCCCATTTGCTAAGGGCACTTCTGCTTCGTCACTTTCTTATCAATTAGTGTCTAGGCTACAGTCTGGATACCGTGATCTAATACTGGATAAGCCCGTGCATGTTCGCTTCACTGAAATGCCACTGGGGATAAGCATGAATCATCTTCACCAAGACGCGGCGGTTCCATGTGGCGAATTGCCATCAGAGACGAGTGATGCTGGAATGAAAGTAGAAGATAAAATTTGCAGCCAATAACTAATAACTAATTTTTGTCACCTTGTTAAGGAGAGCACTGTGGTAAAATGTCATCTGACATGAAAGTGCATTTAAGTGTTACTGACGTCTTCCGTCCGGGGAAAAGATTGGACTAGCTATCATTCATTGACATTTGCTGAAAATTAAACTGTGAGTATGTATATAAATAGTCGGTGGTTAATACAATTCAGCAGAGGCGACGAACACGTCCAGGGCGGTCCTGCTCAGCTGCCAACATACGAAATGTTTATTGCCGACAAAAATGCATAGAAAATAGAAGTGTCACTATACAAGAGCAGTGGTTTGTGGCCAAAAACTTGTTCTATCCAATACAATTGTATCTATTGTAGTGTACATGAAAATAATTAGGTGACATTAATTTGGGAGCAAATTTAGAAGCACTGATTAGTTACAATTAAGTAAGAAGAACAGACAGACTTTTGTTCATTTTCACTTTTCTGGGCGTTCAGTTCACTCATCAAAAACACGAGAAAATTGTTATGGAATTAGAAAGTTTATGATGTTATTGGATAAGAAAGACAATAATTAAACACTTGGAAAATCCAATCTTCTATGACGACATTGCATGCACAATTTATAAAATCTATCTCAGTCAGTCCGTATCTATCTATCTATCTATCTATCTATCTATCTATCTATCTATCTATCTATCTATCTATGTTTATGCCAATAGCTATCTACTTATCGATCTATATTTACATGAATATCTATCTATTATTATATATTTATATCTATGTTCATATCTCTTTTTCTCTTCATATTGGCCATTTCCTGTAAGTCTGTTTGTATTTGTCTGTCTATCTATCTATGTTTGAATTAATATCTATGTTCATATCTATCTTTGTCCCTTCTTATTTCTCTGTACCTCTATCTCAGTATATTCCCATCTATCTATCTATCTATCTATCTATCTATCTATCTATCTATCTATCTATTTTACATCAATATCTATCTACTTATCTATCTATATTTACATCAATATCTATCTATCTATCTATCTATCTATCTATCTATCATTATATATGTATGTTCATATCTATCTTTGTCTCTTCATATTTGTCTTTTCTTCTATCTTAGTCTGTTTCTATCTATCTATCTATCTATGTTTACATAAATATCTATCTATATTCATATCTATCTTTGTCCCTTCATATTTGTGCCTCTATCTCAGTATGTTCACATCTATCTATCTATCTATCTATCTATCTATCTATCTATCTATCTATCTATCTATCTATCAATCTCACTGTTTATTTTTTATCTATTTTTCATTTTATTCATGTATACTGATGTATATTTTCTCTTTTATAGCATTTTTAAATTTCAGTCTGTTACTTTTTCTTTTTCTTTCGTTCTATGTATCTCATTCTGTTCATATCTCTGTAGCTATCTATTGTATTTCTAGCCTTTTTATTAAACCTATCTGTTTAAGATGACGCGAGCCGTCAACGGTCGCGCATACAGCGAAAATCGAACTCTTTATACAAGCGTGCTAGCTTGCATGACAAACTTGCTAACCATAGGGCTACATTTTTTATTATTATTGTTATTATTATGAGAAGCAGCCGCTCTGTTTGCTGGGTCGTGAAGTGATTGAAGACTTTATAAACACTGCAAGATTCTTCCTATGCTCATATCTGGCGGTCATAAACTGTCACGCTCTCCACACCGGAATCCTTATAGGTCCGCTATTGGGAAAAGCTTGGAATGCCGAGAAAGGGAGTTGTACAAAACAGTGAGATGAGGTGGTTGATGCGGAGGCGGTGGTTGTGTTATGCGATCGTAGGCATCAAGTCGTTTTGCTGACATAGACACGGCAGCACGAGAAACAAACAAAAAGTGTTAAAGAAAGAATATCTTGTACAAGAGAGATCCAGGCTGGGAAAGTAAATGGACAATGGCGTCAAACACAGCCTCTTCGTTTCTTTTTTTCTTTATTTTGAATTACACATGCGTGTTGAATGGTGCGGCGTAACGTTACAATTGTATGTACGAAAAACGAAATAATCATTTTCTTGTAGCAGAATTGCACTGGAAATATTACAGGAACATTGTGACTTTTTTCAAGACACTGGAAGAAGAAATGTGATTTTTATGATCGGAATACTATCAAGAAGACATTTACCAATTTGATTGATTATACAAACGGATTTCAGAGAGTATGACACAGACAGAGCCATATATATATATATATATATATATATATATATATATATATATATATATATATATATATATATATATTGGATTTGAAGGCCTGATGAATTGAGGCTGTTTTTACGGCCCAAAGAAATAAATATAACCTCATGAAATTTTAAGAGTTCATGCCTTTTAATAATAATTATCTCTGGCATAGACCTCTCCCTGGATTTATATCCTTTTGAAAATATCCATACTGATCACTAATATCATTATATCATTATATATATATATATATATATATATATATATATATATGTATGTGTGTGTGTGTGTATGTGTGTGTGTGTGTGTGTGATAAGATAAAGAACAAATAGGGAACGTTTATCAATCTAACATGTTTCACTTTTATTAAGGCTTCGTCAGAGATTCAGAGAAAATAAACAAAAAGACAGAACTTTAATATTTTCATTTTTGTTTGGACCTATTTTTTTACTTCCATACATATAGAACTAGAGTTTTAATGCACGTGTTATATGAGGAATGAGAATCGAACCAAACAAAAGTGAAAATACCATAGTTTATGCCTTTTTGTCTGTTTACCCTCAATCTCTGATGAAGACTTAATAAAACTGAAACATTTTAAATTGATAAACGTTTCCTATTTGTTCTTTATCTTACCATCCTGTCAGATTCGGTTCCATATTTGATCTGTATTTGATCTTTAACTCAGAGAATCAACTCCCGTATTATTGTTTGTTTCTTGCTGTTGGAGAAGATTATCACATCTGGGCGAACTGATGTATTTGCAATTTCTTCAGTGAATTTTAATTGTTTTGTTATCAATCCGCTTCTAGCTGCCAGTCTGAAGCTGAAGAAACTAGATTAGATTTTTACATTTCTTCAACTTGCTTATTTGTTCCTTCTTTGACAAATTCAACTTAATATACTCTCCTTGATGATTCATATCTACTGGTTCGGATGGCGTCAACTATCACTTTTAGTTCTTGGTCCTGTCTCCATCGATCGTAATTGTAATATTTTATACAATTAATCTAATATTATTTCATTTCAGTCAGATTTAATAAAGATAGGGAAATTCAATGATTTATTAAAATACCAACCTACAGCTAATCATTATAGTTAATTATAAAATTTCATCACAAAACACGAATTTCTGGGATCCGAAAATAAACTCATGAATATAGTAAATATTTTAGAATTCAAAAACCTATTTACGTTTTAAATTTCAAAATATTACAATATTCCAAATTTTTCAATTGTTCAGATGAAACTAAAAAAAAGAATGATTTAAAAAAAATAATAATGCAAAATAATTATTTATACAAGAAGACGAATACAGAAAAAATATAAAATGGAAATTAATAGATAAAAGAAATGTGTTTCGGAAAATTAAAAAAAAATAACGAAACAGAAACTGATATGAATAAAACTAAAACATAAAATTTAAACTCAGAGTAGTTAATGGAATTAAGGATGTAGCAAAAATAGATCCCTTTATAAGATCAAAAGATAATAAAGGTAATTTTATAAATAAACCTTTTTTAGGAAAATCTATGACAAAATTGGAAAAGTTTCGTGTGACCGCTTTGTCCTCCACGCCTTAATCAGACTAAAGTAATGTCTACACTGACGCAACGACACATGCACACAAAGGTGAGATGCTGAGAATTTTAAATTTAAGTTTAATTTTTTAAATATACGTTTTAGGTATATTGTAAAGTCTATCCGATTTCATTTACTTTCTTTTTCTTTTTGTTTAGGTTTCTATCAGTTTTGTTATTAAACATCTCACATTGTGATAAAAGAAGTTCTGCCAAAAAAGGTGAAACGTAGTAAAAAAACCCAGGTGTAAATTTACAGTGGATGATCTCGTAATTTTCTATACATTGTCGTCTTTGTAAATTGTTTTAAAGTACATCGTCTAGAATGCGTATATGCCGAAAACACATATTTAAAAAAATAAATAAATTTAAAATTCTCAGCGTGCATGTGTAAATGCATCAACGTAAACATCACTTTTGTCCGATGAAGTCCTATCGGACGAAACGCATCACACAAAAAACTTTTTCCACTTTGTCATAGAATTCACTGAAATGAATCCATCGAAAATTTTATGAAGAATAAGCAAATATATTTTTGAAAGATAGTTTTACATTTAAATAGTACACTGAACATAAATCAATGGAAACACACGAAAGCAACAATAAATTGTATTAATAATATTAGAAATATCAGAAATAAGAAAAATGCATTTTATACAATCTGATATTGAAAAATAATATAACGATAATTTATATATATTTTCGTTTTTTTTTAAAAACTATTTTTAACCTATGCAAAGTGATAGTATCATTAAAACACAAGTTGTTACTGAGGGTGAAAGAAAATGAGAACATAAAAGAAAAGAATTCAGAAAGACAGAAAATGGTGATTCATGTAGCACATAAATTTTTGAACATCTCATTTTGGAAGAGAGTTGCAAGATAAGAAACCCTTAGAATAGAACTAACGGTTGCATGTAGCTATTTCAACAGTAAAACGATGAGACCTAATTGCCAATCTAGTACTACGATTAAATTCATCATACCAATGAAGAAAGCTTGCCATGAAAATAAACAGAAAAATCAGAGGTAAACCACACTGTGGCGATGAATAAGCGAGTGAATCCGGGATGTTAGGTCAGGACCAATAATATTACAGACCCTGTTTTGGATTTTTCAAGAATCCCAAAATACATAGCGGGTGCACAAGAGACTATATGACAGCAAATTCAATGTACGGTCGAATAGTAGATTTATAAACGTGCATGATGGATTCTGGTGAGAAAAGTTCTCTGGCCTGATCGATTATCAAACGCCACAAAGCTAGTCTCCAATAAAGCTGCTATTTATCAATAGCTGGATTGGAATATCTCTATATCGCTATAACGCCTGGCTAGGGCAAACAGACTCTTCAAGATGCCGTTATCCAGGTCTACGGGACATGTGAAAATAGCTATGATTAGTATGAACTCAGAAACTACTCCCATTAAAGACAAATTTTCTATTAAGAATTCCGGCAATTTTTTCTCATTTAAATAAAAAAAAAATATTTTCAGCTTTCATAAGCTACTATTAAAGAGTTCTGGTTTTGCGCTATGTCAGTTTCATCTATTTTTAAATATCGCGTTTTCACACATGTCATTTTTTATGTATGGTATCTTCACGCGTCACTTTGTTTTGTCTTATCATTATCTTGTATTATGAATGAAATATATTTTTTATATATGTATGGCACATACTTTGATGTGCGGTAAATGTAAGTGTTATTGGCGCGGAATATAGAATAGACGAGCCTGTTTCAAAATGCAGTTACTTCTGTTTCTTTCAATTCGCGCTAATGCCCCTAGAAATGGGTTAAATAACAGGGCTAACTTGGCTCTTTTGTCTTGGGTGACAGCCAGTATAGGAGAAGAAAAAGTTTTAAAACCTGAGGATATTTGGATATTTCGTGACATTCTGTGTGTATTTTTCCTTTGTTTTCAGTCGTGCCTGGTTCTACACAATACTTCACTATACTGTAATCAAGTTGTCCGTGTGGTTGATCTAGCGGTTTACTTCTAAATTGAACTGTCGGATCCGCATGCATTGAAATTGACTTCTTGAGTCCATGATAGATGTCGCATTATACGGATGATTGCTAGAAGTGTATTTCGAGGGGAGAAAATGTACATGTTTGGATACGTGGGTACATCAATAAATCTGAAACATAAAGACGAACAAAACATTAAATTTACACAAGTATTTATTTTTTAAACAGTTGTCAATATACTTATTTCAGTAGTGAATACTAATAAGATATATTACATAGTTAAAATTTCAGGTAATCATTTAGCTAATATATACAAGGTTGATTATGGTTTAGTAATCTACACATTTCAGCATATTCTCTTAAATCGAATGGACAAGGAAATCGAGAAAGTAATTTTTTAAATAATTTCACCCCAAGTAAGACAATAAAGCCACTTGGACGCGAGGGTTTACTGAGTATCAGAAAATATAAAGAAAAAACTGCTATTAAAGAGAGAGGACAATAAAAGAACAATAAGTAAGAAGATAGAAGATAACGATTGACATTTCATTTAAATTTTTGAAGATCGAAGTTGACTGGGAAGCAAGAAAGCGGAAATGGGTTCCTCAAGCGAGAAATGCGATAGAAGAAACTGTTAGTATAGGACTTATGTTTACATCTAGCGGCCATTTCAACTTGCAAAATAATAAGACCTTGCTGCCAATCTAGTACAGGTATAGTTTAGGTACTATATCAGAGTGTTCATCAGAATAATTATCATGAAACTATTTATAGAAAAAAGCACAGGGAAGCTACGTTGCGGCGGTGGGTAATTTACTGAAGCCGAGATGCCAGGTCAGGACCAATAACATTGCAGATTCTTCTTCGGATTTTATCAAGAATCTCTAAATATATAGCAGGAACACTAGGCCAGATGTGACAATAATATTCAAAGCATGGATGGATGGAAGACTTATGAATACTTTAGAATTGGCTATTACTACATAGTGAATCAACTTCCTTAGCTTCAGACTTTGCTCCTTTTAACAAGTGATTGTAGGTCATTTTTGAGATCAGCTGCCAATCTGACCTTATCGAACCGATTAGACTTATTATTAAGACAGGAGTAAATAGTTGTATCATCAACAAAGTTACCTTAATTTAATGTCAGGGGTAAATGAACTCGCCGAGATTATGTTATGTTCCTTTTGATGTTTTCAAGGAAAGAAGG